CTGTAGTCAGGTATTGAACTGATTAGTTTTTTTCATTCATAGGTTTGCAGTTTTTTATACCTGGGCATATTTGGAACATTGTACATAAATCACTTATTTAACTAAAAGAATACACCTTTCAGACTCAGCATTATATTTTGAATAATTTCCATTAATTTATTCTGCACAATTTCTGTACTCACACACTCAGTTATACTGCAAGAAGACTGTCATACTTTCTAGCTTTCAAGAGAACCATGTAAGTTACTCCAAGCTCTGTGCAATATTTTATAGACAGAATGAAAAAAGTCACTTGAAATCACAGTAACTGTAAGATGACTCTGCACCATAAATTTGCTGAGAAGATAAATTTGGATTAATATCAAACAAAAACAACGGTTCTAACAGCAGATTATCTTCATCTTCTTGGAAAAAAGTCCCAAACCCAAACTGCGTAATTTAAGCTACAGAAATCAGTCACTTAGCCAAAGGAAAAAGGGAATCTCCAGATATTAAAATTAAATAAAGCCATTATTTATTTAAAGGTAAATTAAAACTAAAAATGTCAACATAAAAATATAGAAAACAAAAATATTAAAATATCTAGGTGTATATTTCAATAAAACAAAACACAAGAAAGAAGAATGTGGGCACAAGAACATGTAAAATTGTTCAATCCTACTGATCTGAACGAAGCATCCCTTTCTCTGAAGAACCACTCTTATCAGGAGGGTGTTTCATGTAGGAGAGAGAGGCAATTGAAGCCAGGAAATGATGGATAGCAATGACCTTTCTATCTGTAAAACATGGGCATATTTTAGGTATTTAATCTTGAGAATTGGATTATTATTAATCAATTATTCATGACAATTTGAATCTATGGTAGATGTTTTTTGTTTTCTTAAAGATCACATAGCTAAGGTCCTGCCTGAGAACCAGAATGGAGATTAAATCCTCACAAGCAAATAGTGTTCAAGACTGGCATTTTCTTCCCTCCTAAACATTTCTTCCCCTGTGTAACAGCACACACTGATGATAACCCAGTACCCGCTGTAAAAAATCTGCCTAAATAGTCTGATATCCACCTTTGTAGCTTTTTTTTTTTTTTTAAAGAGCAAAAATAATCCCCAACCTTTCCCAAAGAACAAAGCAGGGCATTGTAGTAACATGGAGAAGCAAAACCACTGACAGTTTCATTCCTATAGCCACTAGTTACTCAACTGCATGTTTTAACATCCACTCTTCCTCACTTGCCAAAGCTGAGTGACAACAGAAGCAGAACACCTCCACTACAAGCCACCAGATCATACAATGAAAATAAGCAGAAGGTGTCTGCAGATCTTTAAAATGCATTGATGAAGAAGAAGGAAGAGCAGATGGAGCTATTCTAAGGCTAAGCTCTTTTGAAAAGCAGAACCTCTACAACCTGCAATAAAATATGTATGCATCTGTGAGTGCAAAGGAGTAGGTCTCAGTGTTGCCTTGAAAAATACCTGAGATGAAAAATATAGAGGTTATCCCAGTTTGGGGGAATCACTACGAGAAAGAGACTCCCTTACTCAGGTTCTAAAATTGAAGCATATGGCTACCTTGTGAAGAATAAAGCCAGTTTAACACACCTAAACCCACTAAATATTTGGCAGTTCTTCCTGTTCTTAAATACTCTGTTAAAAAATGTGCACCTTATTTCTAGTCTAACTGAACTTCCAGGCATTACGTCTAGTTCTCCCTTTGTCTGCTGCAGTTGATGAATTGTCTTAACAAATTCCTGGGGTTTGTGGTATCATGATTCTTAGGGACTAGGGAAGCGCCTCTTTACCCTTTTGTTAACACTAAACATTTAATTCTAGGAGGTTTTCCACAATAAGGCATGTTTTCAACTACTCCAGTCATTCCTGATATATTTGCGGTTCTCCCCTGACCCTTCTCTCACTGAACACAGTATTCCAGTAACAGTCATGCAGGGGCATTAACAATTAATACAGAACGGTAATATAACCATTTGCTTCTCATTTAGCTATTCCCTGTTTATATATCAGTACACTGTAACCTTTTGACTCTTAGCTTTCTTCAAAAACAATTAATTCCTTGGTTGAAACTTTCCATAACATTAGCCATTTACCCAGGGTATTATGAACATTTCCACTTGGGGGAGAGAAGTGATGCTCCGAAGAAGGTGGGGAAAGGGCTAATCTGGAGAAAACTCATAATCTAGAAAGTAAAAATGGGGGGCTTAAGAAAAAGACTGCAAGGGCAGGGCAAGGTGAACTGAAAACGTCTTACTGTGGAAAACTAGAGCAGCATTTTAGTTTATTGATGTTGCCTGGTAAACTGAGTTCACAAGTGCAAATGAGAAATCATACATAATGAAGTCATTACAGAGCCTCTAACACTGGACTTCGTTGTTGGTGTGCCAGTAAAACTGACTGATTAATCTACTTCCATATAACAGCAGGATAAAACAGCTGCAAACAAGGAAAACCTTGGAAATTAAATACTGGAAATATTTATAAAGTGAAAAATGAGGCTAACACAAATGGAGTATGTATCAACTGTGGGGGTGGAAAACAATCTGTATGGGAAAAAAGAAACAGAATCATTAGGATAGTGAATGGTTGTTCATACCTGAGAAAATTGAAGTATGCCTTGTCTAAAACAATTTAAAGAGTTTTTAAATAGACCACAATGATTAAAACACTTCATTTCTAACCTCACCCTTCTTTCAATATGCAACATTCTGCAAATTTTAGTCTAGTGGGGTAATAGATCTGGTTGAATCACAGCCATTCTGAGCTACGATACTTGTTATTTTAGATGAAATGCCTAAGTAATATTGTGATAAACAAGCTTCTCTTTGCTCTACTTGTTCTATTTTTCAAACTTGAGTTACTAAGTAGATTGAGTTGTAAAACTTCTGCAAACCACAAGAAGTACTTGTAATTGAGCCAGTGTTCCTCAATCTTTTTTAAATAGAACAGACTTCCCTCCTCATAGCCACAGCCCTCCAAAAAAGAAAAAGAAGCTGGTTTAATTTTGTCATTTTTGTTTCTTCCATCTAGAAAATATTAACATCAAAGGTTAAAAGAAATCATTAAATTGAAACAAAGAGAGGATTGCATCATAGCAGCTACTCAAACGTGTCTCATAATAAAGCCACTACTACACAAAACTCAGTTAGTAAGACCAGGAGTTTTAGAAGCTTCCAGCTTTCACTTAAACTTGCTTTTCATAAAATCAAAGGTAAAACTACTAATGACTCCAGGAGCACAGCTGCACGCTCTGGAGCAGTACACTACACCTCTGAGTTTTATCCTGCCTTTGCCCGTTTTTCCTGGTACTTTTTTAATTCAGCAGCAGATAAGCCCCCCATCACAGACACATGTAATTGCATATATCTGTCAACTCACTTTGCCAGGGACTTGTAGAGCCTGCTGCAATTTCTACTACACCTTGAAAAGCATGTTCTTTTCCTCTCCCTCTTTCCAGTGCAGCCACTATAGTATGTCCTTGTGGTGAACAGATTAGAGGAAGCACAGCACCATCCTACTGTCCTTAGTTCTTTCCTCCATAGTTCAGGTGGGCTGCTAGCTGCTCCAAAATAAGTCTGCTTTCCCATGGGTCTGGGAATAAGGAAGCCTCTAGGAAGAGGGAAGGAGAAGGAGGCCACTCCAAAAGCAGCAAGTGCTATATGCACCTTCCCATGTCCCCAACACAAGCACAAAGCAATAGCTTGTCCAGAGACAGTTAGGTTTAAAACAATAATCTTTTGGAATTAAGTAAACTCTGAAGCTACTCAGGACAATTCTCTCTCTTTAGAGTCCTTTAAGAATTATTCTGAAATTGTCAGATAAATATCTGACATGCTAAATTTGTTTCCTGTAAAAGATCTAGATAACTATTCAATACATTAAGGGTATAAGTATTTACCAGGATTCATTATTTAGAAAAAAGGATTAACTAAGATTTGAAAAGAACTCCAAATGCTAATGCAAAGTTCAGATGTTGAATGTGTAGATAAGACTAAAAAAGCAACAAACAAAACAAACCTAAAAAGAAACACGTAACTCCACAGAAAACAACCAGTATTGACAACAGCAGGTTCAGAAATATGAATTTACCCCACTGTGTACAGTGTAGTATATGTGCAGTGTAAAGACAGACTGACCCCGAAGTGTGTGGTCGGACAACAGTCTCCGAGAGCTGGCTCACTGTTCAGCATTTAGTCCATTTGCTTTCTGAATACACCCTATAATTAGAGAACAATTTCTCATGCAGTCCCTCCCTTGAGCAACTAATGTTCAAGCATTCACAGAATTTTAAAGTAGCATTAGCTCTGGCACTTGACAGAAATATTTTTGCCTTGGGAGGGTGCAACTGTGGATGATCTTTTGGACAACATATGATCTTCAGTTCAAGACAGATAATTGGGAATAATCTTGCATCCCTTTTCATGTTTTGAAGCATTTAAGACATACACTAGGAATGTAGACTTGTTAAAAAAACCCCACAGTTCCACAGCTTAGGCCTAAACCTTGTCTTACAGCATTCTTCTAGTTCTGAAAGGAGTAACTACTTTAGGATTCAAAAGTCTTTTATGAACTTACACCTGACCAGTACTGAATGCATCTGGAACCAACTGCTCTCCGCTTAGTTTACTGTGCCACTTAAATGTATAACCTGAGAAATCAAGGCCAGTGACATTCAGCACAGCTGCATTCTGCAGTTCATGTGCCTATTAAATATACAGATCCCATGATGAATGCTAAGAGAAGAATATAACAATAAGGCTTTAAAATGTAGATGCTTCACAGGTCTACATTATAGTGCACCACTCAAACCACACCTTTCTTTGAACTCACTGCTTATGCACGCTGACAGGAGTCATTCTGGGAAATAAATTTGGTAGGCACACATTATAGTCGCAACACAATTGCATCTGACACACATTTAACAGAGTCAACAGTCAGTATCCCGTTACACTGCAAGCCTAAGTGGCAGCAATTTGTTCTGGAAATACTTACTTCTGATGAGGTCACCATCAGTGTGATTTCCCCAGATGGACTGGTCTTGTATCTCTGGCTGTGTACTTTGGTTACTGGAAGGCTGGTTTGCGTCTCTATCTCCTGCCGCAGTATTCTCTTGGTCAGCTTTTTCTAAGTCAAAAGAAATTTTAAGGTATTAGTTTCTATGGTATTTTTCCTCTATGTGAACAAAACTCATCTTTGGAAATTAAAAACAAGCAAGCATAAAATATAACTTATCTTAGCATCTCATGTAGCTTCCTTAGAAATAATTCCTAATAAAGCTGATTTTCCATTTATTTTGTCTAGATCAAAACAATTTTTCTTTAAGAAGGTCTTTTAGTCATATTATGTTTAATCATTCAAAATAATACTCACCAGCTTTTGCCACCGCAAGTTATGGCTCAGTTTGTTTATGTTGAGTTAACTTCCACGGAATTTTCAGATAAAAATTTGAATTGCTTTGTCGCACAAAAAAACATTATATTTTTGCCCATGTACATGTGGTTCTGGCATATAAAAGCTACAAAAATTCCACAAACATCTGTTCTCTATAATTTACAATTGAAAGTATAATTAAAGATAAATATTGTTGAAACTTCAAACTGCTTAGCACAGAAATTCAGAAAATTTATTATAACAGAATCACCTATTTCTTGTTGAAAAAATAGCCTTTAAAAGCCATTTCTGAATAAAAGTAAACTTTTCATCCTATGACAAAAGGAAAAATTACTTCTCTCCAAGTATATACAAGATGCAGGTTATCTGAGGGATTCTTCAACTTACTTCACAAGATAGTAGATCTTGTTGTTTTGATGATTTCACCAGTTAACTCATGCAGATCTGCACTTTCTCAAACCAATGTAAGTGACAGCTTTCGTTCTGTCATTAACGTTTTAATAATCAAATTCACGTACACAAATCTTTCTGATCTTGATTGCTAGAGGTTTTTCCTGAACAACAAAGTATTTCAGGTATTCAAAGAAACATTTCCAAATCTGGAATTACTTTGTTCATTATTCACAGTGACAGATTATCAGTTTATATCACTTACTCGAGGGATCTGTAAAACACTGAATGTTTTGTCTTAAGTATTTTTTTAATATACTTGCAACATTTAATAGTTACAGTAAATCTAAATGAGCAACTGTTGAAAAGGTCTGTTAGGTCTATTTATTTGTTTCAAACAGGAACGTGTTTATAAATCACTTACCATAACATAATGATACCATATCCTCTAGTAAAGCAATGATTCCAGTCCTGAGACCCAGGATAAACACTTACTGTTACTGTGACGTATTAAAGGTTAGTTTCTTTATGTAACCAACAGCAGTTTGATTTTAAATCCTAACTTTCTGCCTTTGCTATCCACCCTATTAAACTGAAGCATTGAACATCACTCAAAATAATATATGCCGTATTGTATGTATAGTAGCATGTGTCTTCAAGCACTGCTACTCCCCTTCTATTAATTTCCACCTCTGAAACGTCTGACCCAGCTACCTCTGTGGTACTCCTCTCTCAGCCCTCCCTCCCCTCACCATTTCTTCAACAATTTGTCAATATTTCCTCAAGCCCATCCTGAGATGAACCATTTCACTGGGACTGGCATAGATACCCACTGTCTTCAGTGAGTTTTGCATCTTGCCCTGATCATAGGATCTCACACTGATACTCATCCTACAAAAAAAAAAAAAAAAAAACAAACACAAAAAAACACCAAACCACAACACCAAGAGGTGTTTTCAAGCTGTTTGACAGACATCAGATAAAAATCCAACTGCACTGAAGTATGATGAATCTGCCTGTGCAGTTAGGTATTAGCTGCAAATGAGTTTCAAAAATGTCTGAAAAGTGTCCTGAAATAGAATGAAAGTAAGTAGTGTCCTGGAGAGAGCTAGTGTAAAAGCTCTCTGTCTTCCACATAGAGAAAGCTTAAATGAGCTGTTTTAAAAGACTGTTCTCAAATTACTTTACTGCAGTAACATTACCAAGATTACAACAATATCTTCTCAACAGTGGTAGTACAAAACTGCAGAGTTATTGTACACAATATTCTTGCATAGGATACGACTTTGCAGAGCCCTAGTATTTCATGTAGTAAACAACGAATAGCCCTAAGGAAACATTAATGTTAATGTTAATATTATGGGCCCTTCAGTGTTCTAGATAACATTTTTATCCAAGAAATCTAAAGGAGTGAAGAATACAGTCATCATTATTCACAGGTATTCAGTTTTCATTCCTCTGCTTGGTTGCTTTGTTTTGGTTCTGTATCTTTTTTTCTCCTTTTTTTTTTAAAGGTTGTACATGCATTTTTCATGTGTACTTTTATTATTCTAGATTGATATGGTAAACAGCCAGGTAAAACCTGGTAACTGTAAATTATATTAACAGTTAACAAGAAAGCAGTAAATGGCACTATTAAAAAGTAAAAAACTCCAACAATGTTTCAACTGAACACCAACCCATTTTGATAGGAAGTTTATAATAATTAACCTTAATTGAATACTTATTCTTTGATCTATGTAATCCACATGAAGATTTCCGCACGAATGTGCATAACAGAAACCTACACCATTAAACGCATATCTGGTATTTTACTTTGCGCTCCAGAATTACCTACCCACTGGAGCAGATGACAGACGCTGCTTGGTCAGTATGGTGGGCTGATCCTGGCCAGCAGCTGAGGACTACATGGCTGTCCCTTCCGTCCCCAGAAGGACAAGGAAAGAGAACAGAAAGAGCACAAGTGAGTAAACTCATGGGTCAAGATGTAGTTTAATAAGTGAAGGAAAGAGAAAGAAAACACAAAGTGAGAGATGCAAAGGCAATTACTTGCCACCTCCCACAGGCAGGCTGATGCTCAAGCCAGCCTATAAGCAATGGCTACCTCCCACAAAACCTCCCCCCTTTAGTTTTAATTGCTGAGCGTGACATTATATGGCATAGAATATCCCTCTGGTCAACCTGAGCCATCTGTCCACGTTATATCCTCTTCCAAACCTTGCCCACCCCCAGCCCACTCACTGCAGGAAGAGTGAGAAAAGAGAAAACGTTGATGCTGTGCAAGCGCTGCTCAGCAACAGTCAAACCGCTGGTGTGCTATCACCTTTGGTTTAATCACAAATCCCAAACACAGCACCACAGGGGCTGCTACAAAGAGAAGGAATTCCATCCCAGCTAGACTTAGTACAATGGGACTTTAGAAAAAGGAGACCTTTAGCTATGTTTATTTGAGCTTTTTTCATACATCACTTCTGATGCATCAGAACATTGAAAATAGACAAACACTGGTATTCTGATTAATTTCTTGTTTTTTCTTGAATACACAGCAGGTCTGGTTTAGTACGAAGGGATTTCTTGATTATTCCCTTATAATAAATGGCTGATGATGGGATCATAACATTTTTCTTTTTTTTTTTTATTCTACAGGTGCAACTGCAACATACCAACTACTTGAAGACAGAAGCAAGAACACTTCGAGTCCATGTTTTGCTGATGCCATTATTTTTGTGTTAGGTGCATAATGATGATGAGTAGTTTATGAATAACACAGTTATGAGTCCAGCAAGAATCAATGCAAACACCTTGAACTTCTCCAATAGGGAACACTTACAGCAAAGCAGATTTTATAAAGCCTAGAGCTAGCACAAATACTATTGGCTTGATCTGGCCATAGACAGGTATGGCTTTTTCCTACCGCATTTTCAAATAAATTTCTAACACCTCTCTGTTTTAATCAAGCTTAACCTTATGGATTTTAATGTAATACTTCCTTGGTATTTTAGCTTCTGCTTCCTTTAGGACACCCCTCCACTCTCATGTGACTAACCTCCAAAACTGAGAGCCAAGAAGAAAAAGAGATGCTCTTCCTAGCAGTTCAAATAATGGAAAGACTCATTATGTTCTTAGTCTGCCAGTGCTGAGGCAGAAATACAATCTCTCCTCAAAACCGCAAGTCACATCACAAAAGCAACATAGTCTTTTTACCTACCACAGTACCTCCCTCCAGACCAGAGACTTGTGGCTACATACCACTCCTAAACTAACAGGCTGAAGAGCTTCTAGCCAAAATCCCCACGAGAGTGGTGTACACCCATACAGACTACTTACCCCGAAGGTAAGCATGGGCGCAAACTCTGCTTGTGCACAGATTAATGAAAGTTTAAGGTTTAAATAAGGAAGAGATACAACATGCTGGCAAAGTATAGAATTGAGATGGTTAACAGCCCAAATCATATCTATATTACAGACAATTGGTAAGCCACTTAGTGAAAAAAAATAAAAATTTAATCACATCTCAGAATTACTATTTCATTAAATAAGTAAACAGAGTGAACTATTTCTTTTTTCATTTGGAATTACTAAGGTATATATAAATCACTTTTATAGTACATACATTCATTTTACAATAATCTTGTTGTATTTGTTTTTAAAGTTACACACCAATACATGTATTTCATAGAATCAAAACTTAAGTTTTCGCTGTTGATTGTTAGCTCCTGTTTTAGTGTAGAGCATATGCCTCTTGTTACATACAATTCTTTGCATCATGACAGATACATTTTACAAGACTTGACTAATAGAACAGTGTTGGCAGCCTGGGTCAGCAACAAGGCTACTATTACAATAGCCCTCTCAAAACCAAAATTTTACAAATAGCCAGGATTGTCAAGAAAGACTGTTAGGCAAGAAGGGTATACAAGGCAATCTCTCTAGATCCCTTCCAATCCTGTCTTCTTATAAAGTTGCTGGGATACAGTTCAAACTAATTCTGGAAAATTTCTTACAACATCCCAGTGAAATATCCCTCTTTTCAGAGCTATATTTATTCTATCTTTCTCTATAATAATGTTGAGGGTATCAAGTGGACGTCAAATTAATACACAAAACTGATAGAAAATACAAAATGTATAGGTAATGGATGTACATTTGCAGGACACACCTGGAAGAGCTCAAGTCTTTGTCTCTCCAAGTGCTTGTCCATCCACATTTCAGCTGCCCCCAAATGCCCCACTACATCTCTTGAGCTGACTGAGAAATGAGCCTCAGTGTTGAAGCATACCATAACGCATCAGTAACTACGTAATGTTCAATCTCTGAACACGCAAAAGAAATGGAAC